CTATTACAGTACTATTACAGTACTATTACAGGCATATTGTACACATATTGAAAGGGTTGGTGCGCACCTTGATACCGATGAGCCCCTCGGTGAGGGGGAAATCGGGGCCGTCCATGATGTGGTTGGGGAGAATATCCCCAACCGCATTCGCCACCACCAACCCGGCGAACGGCCCGACGTTGGCCTTCAATCGCCCGGTGTTCGTCACGAGTTGGCCTTTGTCGGGACGGAGCGAACTCTTCATCGCTTCGTACTCCGTTTGAGCCCCCGCGTACACCACCACCTCTTTCCCCACCTTGAAGATGTCTTCAACATTTGGGGCTTCGGGCTTGGCGGGCTTGGCGGGCTTGGCCGGTGACGGGGCCGGTGACGCGGCCGCCTTGGCCTTGCCCTTTGCGGATGCGGAGGCGGGGCCCTCCGAGGCCTTGGCCTTGCCCTTTGCGGATGCGGATGCGGAGGCGGGTGCTTTTTTGGCCTTGGCCCCCACCTCCTTCTTCTTGGCATCCGCCTCCAGGCGGTCAGCCTCCTCCTCGTCGTCCTTGTCCGGGGCGTTGTGATCGTAGAGATAGGCGACTGCAAACAAAAAATGCTATCAACCGTAAGTTTTATGTAGTATGTGTACAGTATGTTACAGGTATGTTACAGGTATACTACATACATATTGCAGGCATATTGCGGCCCTACCTTTCAGAAAGGTGCACAAGTATGCTGAGTATGCTGAAGGTGTGCTGTGGCATGCTTCACATATACTGCAAGGGTGTGTCACGTGTATTAGAGGGTGGGAACGTACCCAGACGCTGTCTTGCCTCCCCTTGCAAGCACTCCACCTTGCTGTTAGGCCCCTCCTCCAATTCGAATTGGGGGAGGGCTTTGAGCACCTCCATTTTCTGGGCGATTTGCCGCACCGGGCATGTGGTAGGGACCCCCTCCTCCATACACGTGGTGTACGGATGTAGCTTTTGGGGGTCCACCCACGTACACTCTCCCGTTTTCGTGTCGGTCGCCCACCGGCCGCACTTCCAAAGGTATCGATTGTTGTTCACGATCGAACGGGCTTTCGCCCGCACGAACGAATTAGTGGGCGCGGTCGCCCACGTTGCAGCGATTTTGTACCGCGGTGACGTACTTCGTCACCGCGGACTCTTGCTTCGGAACGTGAAGTAGGGGCTCAAGACGCCCGTCCTTCACACGCAATTCTGCAAGTATTTCCTCCCCAAACTCTTCCCAAATCAATATTTTTCATGCACCGAAGGAACGAAGTTAATTAAACGAAGCCGCATGCGTGTAGTAGGGGCTTAGTACGTACCAAACTCCTCGTGACCTGCTTTAATTAGTTGAGCTTCGAACGCGCTTCGAGCCCCCTTGCGCCTTTTTTTGCTCCCTTCCCCCCCTCCCTCCTCATCGTCCTCGTCGTCTTCCTTCGCCCTTTTCTTGCCTTTGTCGAGGAAAGCCAATGGGGTTTCCTCGATCCCTTTGGGCTCGCTAGGTGTCCCCTTTGCCCTCACCTTCGCAACGTAGTCAACGAAGCCCTCGTGCGTATGTATGCTCAACGCCAAACAGCTCGCAGCTTTCTACATACTCAGCGTGCAACTCTTTGACTGACATTTTTCTTACACCTCTGCTGGCTTTTCTTACACCTCTGCTGGCTTTGTTTACACCTCTGCTGGCTAGGGCGGCTGCTGGAACGTCAACGTGCTTCCAGGAGGCCTTCCGTACGTTGCCGTGATGCGATGGGTGTTACCATGCATCGTGCACGCATGTTGGCCTCATGTGTCGGGCGCATTGCACCTGCGACGACCGACCGTTTGGAAATGCATTTTGAAATTTCGTCCATCGTCCATCTCGATTGTCATCGCGCTCTTTTTCTTTTTTTGGGGGGGAACGTCTAACCCCCCTTTTCATTTGTGTTCATACGTTACTGTACTGTACTCCAATACGCAACAACTTTCCAATCCCTTTGTCATAATGGTCTAGTGGTTGGCCGTCGGTCTTAAAAGCCGGAGGTAGTGGGTTCGAGTCCCACTGGAGGTTTACACCTTGTCTGCGAGGAGTTGAGCTCCTCCTCGCTGGCGAAGTGTACCACCTCCATCTATAGGTCAATGACAGCCTTTTATCCAGGCCATCTCAGGGGTCATTTTGGGGGTACTTCTTGAGTTACGATTTCGGCCGTTCGATTCACGAACGAGGGGTGCAGATTCTCCTAAAACTTACTTAAAATTCCAAAATTGTTTCCCCGAAAATCGTTCGATCTGTTCGAACGCGTCGCGACGTTTCGTCGAAAAGCCGACCTGGCACTTTTTCAATACGTCTCCAATACGCCATTTCAATACGCCATTTCAATACGCCTGAAATCGCTAACGTATTGCAGTGAGCCCTCCCGTATTGAAGTAGTATTGAACAGATTCTCCTCTAAAAAGTTTTTTTAAATTTTTTTGTAAAGGTCAATATGCGTGCAACCACCTGCAGGGCTCAAGGCAGGGATCACTTCAATACGTGAGGGCTCACTTCAATACGTGAGGGCTCAAGACCTTGAGCCCTGCCTTTAGCCCCCCCTTTCAGTATGCTGCGGAAGTGTTGAAGTGAGCCCTAAAAAAGTTGAAAAACATGTTCTTCAATTATGGTGAGACTTGTTATATGGACTCAGGAGCTATATTTTGCGACATAGCTTGTGTGCGTTTTTTGTGGGGGGGGTCCGAAAACCTACTTTTGGGTTATTGCTTTACTTGAAAGTTCCTTCAGCATATCGTCAATATGTCCGCAGTATATGTCCAACATGTTACAGCATACTTGCAGTACATTTTCGAAGGGTGATGGGCGTGGTAAAAGGGGACTTCAATGCAGTATGGTCCGAGGAGATCAAATTGTTCATGGTGAAAAGCGACCTCGCCATGAACGATCCCCTCAATCATCATCACCAAGTGATGCGGAGCGACATCGAACCGGCTTGCCTTCGGCTAGAGCCGCCGCCCTCGTCCAAGGGAAGGCGCCCCCCCCCGTACAACAATCTTCGTTAGCCAAGCGCGCGATGAGAAATCCCGCGCAAGGCGGGTGCTTAGCCGATCGAGAGCCGATCAAACCTTCCAATGCTCAGGAGGGTACATCGCTCAAACCCCCTTCCAATATCAAGCTCATATTCCCGGAAGGTTGGAGTACCGCGGAAGGCTTCCGCGACCCGGAGTATGAAACGATTACGAAGAAGGAACGCCTTTCGGCGTGGATTGCGCCTCCACATCTTCCAATATCTACGAGGGAACTGGAGTTGTCCGCGAGGTAGCACCCTTTCACTTTCTTCTCGACGTCGAGGTTGTGTCTTTCTTGCTTCACAGGACTCTTTGCTACATGTATGCAACATGGTTACCATATGTTGCATACATATTGAGATTATATTGTAGGGATCCTGGAACACATTGCAGGAAAGTCGATCCGCGCTATGTGGAAGTGGACACGGTATGGCATCATAAGTGGCTGCCAACGCGACTGCTCCCGCACGATTTCTCCAGATTGGCGCACGATTTATCTCCAGACAATACCGCGTGGCCGACTTGGTTACCACCTTCCGACATCTTGGAGCCAGAACCAGCAACGGTAACCTTTAAGGGGAAATCGTTTCGACTTGTTCCACCGGTGCCTAATTGCTTGCAACGGATTGTCGAAAGGATTCGTGGCATGCAAGAGGCAAGGTAAGGGACTCTCGTGGGGCATGATTTCCCTCCCACCATTCATCACGTGGCTGGCTAGGCGAGCTCCTCACTGTCGACACCGCAGAGCTTGCATTGGAGGCCCTTCGTCTTGCCATCCTACAATCGTCCGAGAAAATGTTGCCAACAGGCAGCTTTCCGCGCCCTTTGGTCTTGGACTCGGTGTGGACGCTTGGGCTTTCACTACCTGCGCGCATGCATGCCGGTTGGAGTGAGCAACCGTAGAATGAGGAAACTGAATTGAAGAAACTGAAGTCGAACGAAGGAACTCAATGCTAAAATATGGAAATACCGACAACAAAGAAAGCATAAGGCACACAATACAAGAAGCAACCACTTAAAGTATATACGAACAGGGGACATTGTAAAATATACGCACCAACTTTGCTGCGAGCAACATCTTGCTGGGATGTGCGCGCTTCTTGGCTTTGGTATCTTCTAACTGTTTTACGAGTTCTGCAATTCGCTTCTTCTGAGCGAGCCTGGATTCCTTGATCAGGCCCTCCGAGCCAGAGGAATGTTCGATCGGCTCCCAAGTGCCAGCGTCATCCGGGAGATCCTCCCATCCGCCATTCAAAAACTTATTTGGAACACCTTCAGTGCCAAGCCCCCCTGCTGGGCAATCTTGTTTCTCACCCTTGATTTCGGAAACTGTGAATTCTTACTTATCACTGCCATGAGGATCGAACGGGCATGTTTGAGTACGTTTTACGGCACCGATGCCCTGAGCCCGTAGGGTTGGCTGAAATGCATCTCCGCCACTCCTACCGATCGACTTACCCCTAGCCGAGCCGGTTGCCCCACGTGTGCCCTTTCCGCCCATTTTTGCGTGTTTGATGTAGTGCGCTTATTTGAATTCGTAATTCGAACTGTGCAATAATAACTATATATTATTCGACACGCATGCTGATAGATCGCCATCGATTTTGGCGGCAAGCAAGCAAGCCATGTAAGTGGATGTGTACAACGGTTGCTCATGCGTAGGGATCGATGCATCGATCCTACGTAGATCGTACGAACCCAGTCACCGAGTGGCGCGATGCTTCATGCGCGCACGCGCGCGCGTGTGTGTATGCGAAGTTGCGAATCTAGGACCTGACCTTTCGGCATCTGCCCCGCCTCGTGTGATTTGTCACTGAGTTGCGGCAGTCACTGGGACGTGTTTCGTACGATAGCCCTCGACGTCGACTACAGATCCAGCGGGCTCGAAAGAGGTACCGGATCGTCTATAATTAAATTTATAGATCGCTTGTAAAAATAATGTATATAAATGGGGTGGGGGGGACAATTAACATCAAATATGGCGCAATAGTGTAGTGGGTAACATACTCGTCATGTACGCGGGAGGCTGGGGTTCGATTCCCGTTGCGCCTTTTCCCACAAAAATAATATATAAAAAATCCCAATGGGTGAGAATGAAACAATCCTTGTTAAAACTTTGAGTTGCGGCAGTCACTGGGACGTGTTTCGCACGATTGCCCTCGACGTCGACT